TCTTGGCTCTGCTGGTCACTGCCTAAGTGACTGTGGGCAAGTATTTAACCTCTTGGAGCCTGAATTTCATCAACTGATAATGATGATAAGTAGATGACTTTGAGGTTTCTTCTAGCTCTTAATCTATGATCTTATGGACTAGTTCCACATATGGAGAAATTGAGGACCAAAGAGGCTAAGTGATTCACCCCAAGTTAGGAAAGTTATCAAAGAACAAAGCCAGAAGTCATAGGATCATGTGTTTAGTGCAAGAAGGGACAAGAATGATAATTGAATCCAAATCTATCATCTAATAGATGCAGAAACTGAGGCCAAGAGAGGTCAGTCACATTCCCATCCCAATCCAACCAGATTAGATTAGATTTATGTCAACAATTTTTTCTCCATCAGGACATTTTTTGAAAAGTGGGTCAGTGATCCCTCAGTACAGAAGGAGAGGCCCCTAGAATTCTGGTTCATGGAATCACAATTTGTAGAATTCTAAGGGACATCAGTAGCTACCTCCTCTAACCCATACAGGGTGGGGGAAACTCCACTATAACATGCCTGGTAAATGGTCCGTCGAGCCTCTCCTTGAAGAACTCCAGTGACGGGGAATTCATTACCTTCAGAGAAGTTCTATCCACTTTTGGACAACTTTAATTATTAGAAACTCCTCCTCCCTTATAACAAATCTATTTTTGCTTATTTATCATTTTTACCAATTTTTCCTGGTTCTTTCCTCTGGAGTCAAGCTTAATGACTCATCCTTTTTTGATATGAAAAGCATTTAAATACTAAAGACTGATATTCTTTCCTCTCTAAGTTTTTTCATACCCAGGCCAAATATCCACAGTTTCTTCAACTAGTCTTCATATGGCATGAGCTCAAAGATCTTGAAGACCCTGGTTGTACGTCCTCAATCCTGTGATACCTCTCTATGTCTATATAATCTTTCCTTCTTTTTTATGAGGGTGTTAGATTTACAGCTGGAAGAGACCTTGGAGGTTCTCCAGTCTAACTCTCTTATTTTATTATTTATTTTTAAATATTGTATTTGTCCCCACTTACACAAACCCACACCCACACACACACACACACACACACACATTTAAAAAATTTATTATTTTGAGTTCCAAAGTCTATCAACATTCTCCTTGTTCTGCTCATTTCATTTTGCATTAGTTATATAAGTCTTCCCAGGTTTTTCTGAAACCATCCTGTTTGTTGTTTCTTATATCACAATGGTATTCCCTCATAATCATATACTACAACTTGTTCAGCCTTTCTCCAAAAAGGTCATTCTTCTTAAGAGGAAAAGAAGGAAAAGGAAAAAAAAACACAGAAACTTTGTCTTAACCTTTGTTGTAAATTTGTCATCTTCCTAGCCATACCAAGCATGAGTTTTATTCTCTATCCCTACACACACACACACACACACACACACACACACACACACACACACACACACACATACTATAGCTAAACAAAAGAGCAAAGAAACTCTTTTTTGTATCCTTGCCAACCTCAGCTCATTATGAACCTTAGTACTTTTGACATCACTTTTACAGAACTGTCATGTTCTTATTTTTATCCTCTGTTAGCTGCCCTTCTTTCCATCTTCTGTTCATATTTTTTTTAAATCTAAGTTGGTATGTAAATTTCCTGTGCATCCACTTTAATCTCTTTAGTAGAAAACTCCCCTTTTCCCTTCTTTTTGTAATTGTTTACCTTTTTGTCTTCATGTGTTCATACTAGAGTTTCCTATAACTCTTAGTCTATGTTACCTTGTGGATTCTAATCCATGGGATCCATCCTACCTTTATCTGAATTTTTAAAATCTGTTTGTTCCAAATCTAAGGTCCATATGAGATTACACCCAGCTTTCTTCTCTTTGCCTATTACAAATTTGAGAAGAACAATCACATCTGTTCAAGGTTCCCATTGTTTTCATCCCAGGAAACAATTCTTCCTTACTTGTGAGAATCAAATCTAGAAGAGATTTTTACTTTAATACCCTCAAAAGAGGGATGAACTTGTCAATAACTCAAATCAAGAAATCATTAGCAGTTTGCATATTGGAGGGAAAGATGGCAACAGCAAATGTCTAATTGAAATATCCTCATTACTATACCATAACTCTGTTCTGGGCTTATTACGTTCTTCCCAAACTCCTACTTTATTTTGTCATTCTGTTGAAATGGCCCATAATAAACTCAGATGGCAAAATCACTTTCCTTACTTCTATTCCCCCTTCCCACCCCAATCAATTTTCACTCCAAAATTTTCCACCATGATTTTCCACTCTTACTATATCAGGTTACCGACTTACTACATGGCATATCCATCTATTATGTCATTTTTTGAGTGCAAATCAGCCATCAGGTCATGCTGAAGATTAATTAGATCAAAAGAAAGCATTTTAATTACCATATAATTTGATTATAGTTCTTTTAAGATTGTCTGTCTCCTTATTCGTAAAATTGGAATAATATCTGTTCTACCTATATTAAAGTGTTTTGATGAGGAAAATGTTTTGCACCTCTTAAAATGACACCAAAAAAGAAAAAACTCAGAAGCTACTTTTTTTGTGGTTATCATAATCATCCATAAACATATAGCCTCATTGGTAAATATTAGTTCCAATATTGACAAATCATCTTACCCATCCTTGTCATTCATTCTCTATCTCATTATCCATGATAACTGCTATAAACTTTTTCCTCTCTTTTTCAAGGCCTTAACTAGAACTCTGTCATGCACACAGTGCATAATTTAAGCCTCCTTTTTTTTAAAAGAAGATTAAGGCCACATAGGCCTTAAGAAAGACTCAGAGGCCAGGAGCTCTCTCAACTTCTCCATATACCCCCATCTCATAACTCTTCAATCTTTCTTTCTCTGGTGGCTCCTTACAATACAGCCAAGGTCTCCCCAATATTTAACAACAAAATCACATTTTCTAATCCATTCTATTTTTTCAGCTAGAAAGCTTATATCATAATAGAAAAGCAGGTTATCTAATAACCCATGTTTAATAAACCCCTGAACCTAAATTACTTAGGAAATAATTCCCTGTTTGAATTCTGAAAAAAATTTAAAAAAAAAACAGCTGAGAAAACTGAAAAACAATTTGGGCAAAAGTTGGCCTTAGAGTAAAATATCATGTTTCATGATAAATTCAAAATAAATAAATGACCCAAATATCAAAGATCGAGCCATTAAAAAATTAGAAGAGAAGCAAACATATCTTTCACAGTCATAAGTAGATCTTGTATTCTTCATCAAATGAAAGAGGAAATTACAAACAAAATAGATAGTTCTGATTACATTAAATTTAAAGACTTGTGCACAATAGGATAACAAGAGAAACAGTATGATGAGAAAAATCTTTGTATCAAATTTCTCAGATAAGAGTTTGTTATCCATAATATACAGACAACTGACAGAAATCATAAGTTCAAAAATCATTTCCTGATAGATATGTTGTCAAAGGAAATAATCATACAAAAGAAGAATTGCAAATGATTAGCAACTATCTGAAAGGATACTCTAAATCACTAATAACAAGAAATATGCAGATCAAAATAATCCCAAGGTTTCATCTGACATCCAGCAGGCTGACAAAGATGACAAAAGACTGGAATAATCAATGTCGGAAGAGTTTTGTAAAGAGTGGCACACTAATGCATTGTTATTGAAGCTGTGAATTGGCATAAACATTCCGGAAAGCCTTTTAAAGTTATGCAAATAAAGTGATCAAAATGTTCTTATTCTTTGACAAGAGATTTCACTGCTTAACATAAACACCTAAGGAAGTCAATGAAAGAAAGGTTTCACATATGAAAATATTTATAGCCTTGTATTTTCTATGATAACCAAAAAAAAATCTGTAAACAAAGTAGGTGCTCTTCAATTGGGGAAATAGCTAAACAATTATGGTACACAAATATAGTGGAATGAATATTACTATTCCATTACTAATTAATATGATGAATACAGAGAAACATGGAAAGATTTCTATGAACTGATATAAAAGGAAGTAAGCAGAGCCAATACACCAATAAATGTGATGTCCACAATAGCATAAATAGAAATAACAGCAATCATAACACTATTGAACGTAGATACTACAAAATGATAAAAAATAAAAAGCTTGACTCTCAAAAAAACATGTATGCTTTGCAGAATGGGAATATAGAAAATTCTATGAGTGTGAAATATTGCCTATATAGTCAGATTTTTCCCTATACATATTGCTTTGTTTTGCTGATTTCTTTCCTCTCTTTTTTTCTCTTTCATATATGAGATGGCTTTCTGCAAGGGGGAAAGGAAAGGATAAGGTTGGGAATTGGGCCACTAAAAATATATCAATGAAATATATTTTCAAATAAGGAAAAAAGAATTATGAGTTATCATTCCAGCTACTGTTATACTGATAGAATGTAAACTCCTGCAGAATAAGGATTATTTCATTTTCTTTCATTTTTTTATTCCCAGAATCTAGCAAGACAAATAGTAGGCATTTAAAAAATGATTGCTGATTTATTGTTAACTGATTTTTTTCTGCTCCTTTTTACTGCTAAACATCTTGGGAAAGTTTTCTACAACTGATACTTCTATTTTTTCACCACCTACTCCCTCCATGACTCCCTTTAATTTGGCTTCTGACCTCACCACAGTACTGGAACTTCTCTCTCAAAGGCCAACAATAATCATATAATTGCTAAATTCAATGCCCTTCTTTGTAGCATAACATTTAAGCTGCTTGTTTTTTTTTCTTTTGGGTTTAAGGACAGCATAGTCTCTTGGTTTTATTCCTACCTCTCCAACCACTTTTCTACTTTCTCTTTTGCTGTTTCCTTGACCTCTTCCCAACTCATTGTGATGGGTATTCCTCAAGGTTCTATGTTTCATCCTCTTCTCTTTATCTAGATCATCTCCCTTGGCAATCTCATTGACACCCAGGGCTTCAATTCCCGTCAGTATGGAGGAAGCTCTGAAATCCATATCCCCTCTTCCTGATCTTACCTTTGAGACCTGCATCTCCAAATTCTCCCAAGATATTTCTGCCTGGATGATCCATTGGCACCTCACATTCAACAGGTCCAAAATTGGGTTTATCATCGTTTCCCTTATATCTGTTTCTCTTCCTTTAATTATGTGATCCCTTCATCTCTTGTGTTTGAAACCTCAGGGCTCTACATCTCTCTTACTCACCTCTCATATTCCATAAATTAACAAATGTCATTAGTTCTTTTCTCCTAACGACTCTCACATCCATTCTCTATCTATTCTCAATGCTACCACCCCTGCCTGGAATATTGCTGTCACTTTCTAGCAGATCTTCTTCCTTCTTCCTCTCTCTTCTTCAGTCATTCTTTCATAATATTGCAAGACCAGGCAAATTTCCTTCTAGTAGGAACCTAATGTTTCTTGACTTAACTTTTTGTTGAATGGAAGGAGACAGTGCTTAGCACAGCACTCGGTACAGAGTAGGTACATAAAAACCTTTGTTAACTGTTGACTAACTCTTGCAGCAGTGATCATTTTGGGGTTACTAGAACCAATGAGCAATATAAATTTATTGTTTTTTTTTTATTTCTCTGCTAATTTGCCAGTTCCCAGAAAGGATTAGATCATCTTTTTTGTATCTTGGATCAATTCTCTGAATTCTCTTAGTAAATTAATCATTTTTTCCAGTACCAAAGGCAAAGGGACAAAAATTGTTCTTTCATGTGCTTTGTTTGTTAGAATAACTTGCCCATGAATGTATGTTTTCCTGTAGGCTATGTCCACTGTGAAGTTATAATACATTCAATAAACAGCCATCCAACTTTAATTTGAAAACCTGTAAGGATAAGAAACTCACTTATGAGTCAACCAACTCCATTGCTAGACAGTTTTAATTGTTAAACACATCTTCCTTATATTGAGATGAAATATGTCAAGTTTAATTTCTATACGTGAGTGGTAATTCTTTCCTCTTAAGCAAGAAAATAAATCTAATTCCTCTTGCACAAGATAGTCTTTTAAATATTTAAATACAGTGCTTCTCTCTTCCCTAAGTTTTCTCTTCTTGAAGTTAAATATTTCCAGTTCTTTCAACCTCTGTTCATAGGGCACAGTTTCTTTACCACCCCTCCCTTCCTGATCTAGACAGAGTAGGACATGGAGCACTAGACTTGCAGTCAAGAAGATCTGAAGTAAAAGCCCACTTCAGACACTTACTAACTGTTGGACTCTGGACAAGTCATTTAACTTCTCTGAGCCCCTATTTTCCCTTCTATAAAATAGATTTAAATATTACCTACCTCATAGAGTTATGGTGAGGTTCAAATGAGAATCTGTACAAAGTGCTTTGCAAACCTTAAGGTGCTGTATAAATGTTAACTATAATTACTGTCTAGCTAAATTCTTATGACTGTAGGGGAAACCCTGGGTGGAGGCATGATCCATTATTAAGAGGAACTCATAAGGTGATCTTGGTTAATCATGGCAAGGGGCAGGAACCAAATGACATATGGATTACAGAGATGGAAACAGACAAAAATTGACTACTTATCTAGTACATAGAGTTCTAGGCTTGAAATCAAGATGACCTGGATTCAAATTCTGACTCTGATATTTACTAGTTTTATGACCCTGGGTAAATCACTTAGCCTTTATTTTCCTCAATCAGCTCCCTAAAACATATTCAAGTCATTGTCAGGTTGAGATTTGTATTGAAGGAGAGAGTTTCCCACGTAGATAAAATGTTTGTCTCTGTATCACCACCATGTAATAAAGTGACTAGATCATATTATGTACTTAAAACATTTTTTGTTGATTGATTGTTTGAGCTTCTGTATAAATCTATAAGTCTAGTTGTTCCAGTTACATTTTAAGTACCTTGATGACTAGGACCATTTTATATCCTATAAAGCAAATAGTACAATGATGCTCCATAAATATTTGTTGGTTGGTCAAATTTTCTCAAGTATTTGTTGTATGTGCATATATACTGATAGAGGTATAGATTAGTTATAGATATATGTGTGCCTTATCCTCCCAATCAGGTCATAAGTCTTCAAGAATAGACACTATTTTATTTCTATTTTTAAAATCTCCATCCCCTTACTTCACATAGAGCTGGGCACACAGCCCACTTTCAGCAAAGACCTGTTGTATTTATTTTCTATTTTCTTTATTATGTGCAATAAGTAGTAGCATCATAATCACATGGGATGAATATTTCTACTGATGTCCTCTGGGACAAGTGGACATCACCATTATAGACCCTGGAGTATGGATAAGGTCTGTGAAATCTCCTCTCCATGATATGATCTCCAAAGAGATGTATGGGCTAGGACAATTAGATGCCTGGATATCGTACTAGATAATGTGCTGGGTCTGGATAAATGTACTGGCTGTGAGGGGAGCAGGCTGTGTTCCAGCAGTGGGCTGAACATGCCTGGGGAGGGTTTTAGAAAAAAAAAAAACATGATAGCTCTACAGCAGGAGCAGTTTTGTAAAGTACCAACAGATGGATGTAAATGGATGCTGGTAGCTTAATCTCAGAGAGGTGAAAATTGCATGCAAAGAAGCTTCAGGCAGAAAGTAATGAGGAATACACAGTAAAATCTCAAAAGAAAAAAAAATGTTTGATCCAGGAAAAGTTAGTGTATTGCTATGTTAAAGAACATGAATAGGATAGAGGGAGTCCAGATGATGACCATAGGATGGGGAGGGGCATGAAATGATGCTATATGAGAAATTAATTCATTCATTCATTTAACAAGCATTTATTAAGTGAAAAACAATGTGCTAGGTTCTGAGGATTCAAAGATATTTTGAAATGACATAGCCCCTGCCTTCAAGCAGCTTGAAGGTGGAGGGACAGATACAATTTATTTACTTAAAAATATAACATAAGGCAAGGTATAATTAGTTCCAGGAAGAGATCTAGGTACACACTTTAGAAATATCTAAGGATGGGAAGATCAATTTCAATGAGAGGGAGGGACAATCAAGGAAGGCTTTATGAAGTGGCACCAGTACTGCCCTTCACTACTGAAGGAAGAGAAGGATTGTCAGATGTGGAATGAGTGCATTTCAAGCCTGAGAACATCCTGAACAAATACCTAGAGGTGGGAGATGACATAGCAAGTTCAGCTTGGTTGGCATTCATTTAGAGTGTGAGATAGGACACAGTATGAAATAAAGCTGGGAAGGTAAGAAGAAACCAAATTGTGGAGAATCTTCAGTGGCAAAGATGATGAGCTTGTATTGTAAACTGAAAATGATAAGCAGGCACTGAAAGTGTTTGAGCAGCTGAGTGAAATGGTCAGATGAGTACTTTAGCAAAGGAATTTTGTGTGAAAGGTGAAGGGACTAGAGAAGAGACCAGATAAGAAGCTTTGGGAACAGTGTAAGCCAGAGGCAATTGGAGCCTGAACAAAAGCAGTGGCAGAAGGAGTGGAGAAGAAGGGAGAGACTCAAGAAAACTAGGAATGTAATGTCTGCTATTGTGGTCTGAGGAGCAAGTGTTGCCTCTTACAATTATTTTCACTTTGGTTTCTGTGAAATTAACATTAACAAGACTTGGCAAATGATTGGTTTGGGGAAGGGAGTGAGGGATAGAGAAGAAATGAAGATGATTCCAAGGCTTGAAATGTGGGTGACAAGGAGGTTATCGGTGCTTCCAACAGGAGTAGAGAAGGTGGCAGGAGAGTCAGATTGAGTGGAAGCTGATGACTTCAGTATCTGACATGTTTAGTTTGTGGTGCCAGTGGGGCATAGAGTTAGAGATGTCTAGCAGACAGAAAGTTGAAAATGGAGGTCATATGAGATCAGGATTGTATATGTAGATGATAGAAGGAATTGGACTTATTTTGCCTGGAAAAAGCTAAGAGGAAGAGCAGGATAGCATTCTTCAAACATCTGAAAGACTACCATATGGAAGACAGAGCACATATTAACTTAGCCTAGGAAGTAAAACTACTACAAATGTGAAGTTATATGATAATTTTGGCTTGCTATAAGGAAATACTTCCTAATTATTGGATTTGTCTGAGAATAAAATGAGCAGCCCTGGTAGGTAATGAGCTCCTCATAAGTGGAGGAATTCAAGCAGAAGATAAATGATTGTTTGTTGAAGATCTTATAAATCTAGGCATTGAATGGGAATTTGAATTAGATTACCCTGTGGGACCTTCCAGTTCCAAGATTTTGTGATTCTATTAGCAGATACATTATTCCCTTAAACAAGGTATTTTATCTCTGCTATGAAGAAAATGCACCCTGAATTCAAAAGACCAAGACATTTGATCAAGTGGAAAAGATTGTAGGACACAATAATGGAATTTTCCATTAACAGAAAATCTTCTTAAATTTTAGTCAGCATTAGGCCTCGCCATAAGCATAGTTAATGTATTTTATACAGTATGTCCTTGGCCAACTTGCGTTAATGAGTATTTTCATTCCTTTAATAAATAAATGATATATATGTATTCACCAAGCCAAAAAATTGATATTACCTTATACATATTTTTCAGGGTAATTACAGGTGTCTATTATATTCATTCAACAATTAGTATGAAATATTTACTTACTGAGGCCTTGGGTAAGTCAATCTCTGCCTCAGCTTCATCATCTGGAAAATAAGAATAATAATAGCACTTACTTTCTAAGGCTGTTGGAAGTATAAAATGAAATATCACTTGCAAATCACTTTTCAGACTTTAAAGTGCTATATAAATGTTAGCTAGGGTGATGATAGTGATTATTATTTTGCCTTAGTAACTGTCAAGTCATTCTTCTGATAAAATAATATTCTTAAAATGAGAGGTCTTTCAATAACATGATATGCTGAAGAGAATTATTTGATCTGTGACCAAAGGAAAATCAATTCATCTTTCTGAACTTTGGTTTCCTCATATATGAAATAAGGATACAAATGTTTGCTTACCCACCTTGCAGAGTTGTTGTTAGTACAAGATTCTATTAAGGTAATATCTTGGCAGGGTGGGAGAAACACTAGATTTGGATTGTGAACTTGGGTAGTATCTTAACTTCTGTGGACCTCAGTTTCTTTATCTGTAAAATGATTGCTAAATTACCTTTCA